AAACTGTGAATCCCATAAAAAAAGATGAGGGTTGCGAAAAATTTCACAACAGTAAAAACTTACTAAGTGCCCCCCAGTGGTAATTTTATTTTATTTTGTTTTTTTATTTTTTTAATATATGTCTTTATTGAGATTTTCTTATTTACATCTTAAAAGCAGATAGGAAAGAAAAGAAGAAGGGTGGATGAAGATAGAAGTTGGGAGATAGGTTTGGGGATAGTAGGATGGGTCAGTGGGGGATAGGTAGGGGGGTGCGGGTTTGGGGTTTGCAAGAAGGGGTAAAATGAAGTAGGAGGGGCGAAAATAGGTGGTAAGAGTAAGGTGTGAAGTTGTGCAGTCTTAAAAGCACAGGGAAGAAGATTGGGGATATCCCCTTCGTTCGGTCCGACTTCCTTGGTGTTGTCGAAGAAGCTTCCTTTTCTTTCTTCTATATAAATCTTTAGTTTCTGTTGTCTCTATATTTGTTGGCAAATGTCTTTCTCCTTTCCTATCTATCCTTTCCATCCAAAATATTTATTTATCGGTGTCCAGTGGTAATTTTAGACATTTACCCGAATCTGTTAGCAACAACGTGCAGCATATACAGTGGACTCTGCAGAAAATACTTCAGCTATACTTAATAAAAAGGAAAATCAGACTGTTTAAGAATCCTTACTAATTTATTATCTGTTAATGTTTGGGTTTTTTTAATGATTACTTTATATGACTGACCATGTAAACATTTCTCAGGCATAAAAGGTGTGGGTGGAAAAAGGTTTTATAGCCCTGGTCTAAAGAAGGCAATTGTGTGACGACTTTGTTGAAAAGCCTTCTCTATATCTCCCTATAATTATCAGCCAGGGACCTGTTTTGGGGTAAGGTATGGGAATATGTGGTGGCCTTCTAGGGACTATTGGGTATAACAGATCATATAGATACATTTCAATCTGTTTTCAGGGCTAGTTATGGGATATAGATGTCTTTGATTACTTTGGTGAATAACCTACTCCAAAAACAGGATGGACAGTCCAATGATTCTGTTAGACTTCAATGGCGTTTAATACCATCAACAATATTATCCTGGGCTGCCTCACTGGGAATAGCCTTGAAAGTACCGTTTTGCAGCTACTCCAGTCAATCCTGTGTGTGTGTGTGTGTGTGTGTGTGTGTGCATGCCAAGTTTGATCATCAGTAGGGGACACAGGGCTCTCTGTACATTCTTTTGGTCATTGGGTGTGTGTGTCTGCCAAGATCTGTCATTGGTAGGAGACACAGGGCTCTCTGGATGCAGGGTGAACTACAATTCCCATAATATTGGGTCAGTCCTCCTAAACCCCAGCAAGCAAGCAAAGTTTATTGAATAGTCTATTGACCGCATCAACATTAAAAACAAAAACAGAAACGTGCACAAACAGACAATAGTCACCCTCCCAAGACCCCCACAACAGCGAACCAACACACATTCAAACCTGATTAGGTTAAGAGATAACTAAAAATATCATCATTAAATGTCAAGATAAAATGTCATACCACAAAAATTAAAAACGAAGGTTAAAATGAAGGTTAAAATAGACCAGCGATTACACAATCCCAAGCCCCAGGAGTATCCAAAGTTGGCCATGTTGGATTTGTGTGCCAAGTTTGGTCCAGATCCATCATCAGTTGGACGATCTGTGGATTTGGATGAACTATAACTAGTCTACCCTCTCTGGTTGATCCCCTCCAAAGCCCAACAGTATTCAAAGTTGTGCATGTTGGGCATGTGCTCCAAGTTTGGTCCAGCTCCATCATTGGTTGAGTTCAAAATGCTCTGGGTATAGGTGAACTGTAAGTCCCAAAATCTAGGGTCAATTCTCCCCACATCTCTCCAGTATTTTCTGTTGGTCATGGGGGATCTGCATGCCAAATGTGATTCAAATCTGTCTTGGGAGTTACAGAGAGAGTGTTACATATGTGACACTTAGCTTTTAAATCCTGATTCTTCCCCTCAAAAACGACCCATTCCTTCAGGTCTTCTCTTTTAAGATACAATACAAAAGAGGCAATTTTCACATTTTTTTCACATATAAGAAATAGTCTATCAGGCAGTTTGGACCAATGGACTCTCTAAGCCATAGCCAGCACTTTGAATTGTGTCCAGAAACAGACAGGAAGCCAATAGAACTGTTGCAGCAAGAGACTTATGGGTTAATTGTAGCCAGCCCCAGTTAGCAATCTCATAGCAGCTTTTGGGGTCAGCTGAAGTTTCTGAGCACTTTAGAAAGACAGTTCAATTTGTTTAGAAACAGGAGTTACTGACATGGGAATTTCCCCAGTTAGCTTTATTTTAACAGAACAGTTAGCACATGCAGCTGCTTAGAATAAGAGGTAAGGCAAGTGATGCTCGCAACAAAACGTTGTGTGGTGTGTTGTGATTACTGTTCCAGCAAGCCATGCTCAAATTAATTCCTCTCCACCATCTTCCCAATAGGCACTACATGTTCTCTGATCCCAGAGCATTGTGAATTTTCATGGGGCAATTTTTGTGGGTTTCCTCTTTGAATATTTTCTCTATTTCTGCTGACAAGGCTTCTCCTTCACCTCCTCAAAACATGTTAATGTTCCTCTTTTTATGTCACATCTCAGCACCTGAGTCCAGTCTGTATAAACAATAGACCACAGGAAAGGTTTTCTCTTTACATTGACTGCAGATTGTAGATAAAGTATTAAAGTTTTTTTTTCTATAGCTCAGCACTGGTGAAAAAGTAAACACAAAATAATAGGATCTCTGTAAAATATTTGTTCAGATGTTTTATATGACACAGATAACAAAAATAGAAATGATCATTCAGCTTTCCTGTGAGATTCAGTGAATTTCCTTTTTCATGATTAACCTAAACTGACCTTCTAAAACAAACATACCGGCTTTCATTCAAAATTCCTGAGGTTTAGAGTCCTCACGGAGCTCCTTGTAAGGATGAGCTACCCCATTCACTTCAGTGTTTGAATATCTTCAGAGCTTTGCATTAGTATTGAAATGAACAAAGAATGATTTTCCCAGAACTGGATGGCAACATTAACATTTCTCCATGGTTCCTAGGATCTGTGGATTTGGTTTGCTTGAGTTTCTGCCCTCCTTGTGAGGCTAAGTTGTAAAGACAAGAAGATGTGAAGAAAGAGATATATACTTCAGAAAATAACCGGCATCTTATAAATTGACTTAGATGTTGAGGAAGTAGAGAAAGTTCAATAGATATTTGAGGTCAAAGTAAGAGCAGAAACCAAATGTCAGATGTTCAGTCAAATGCTTTGGGAACTTGGAGAATGATAACACAGAAGCATGTTTTCTCAATTTGAAAATGTTAAAAAGGTACAAATGTACTTATGTGGCATCTTTGTATTTCTGTGAGACACTTATATTTTTCTGTTAATTATACAAAGTAATATATGGCATCATTTCTTAGAAAAATACATTCAATTTGAGTAGTCTCAAAATAAAGCCATTGGCCATGTGAACATTCTGCCCAGACACTGCTATTTCCATGATTCTAATCAACTTCATGTGGTCTCTGAGAGCAATTTAGTCTGTTAACCTGAGGCCCACACTTAGCTAAAACCAACTGCTTCATTCCCCCCCCCCCCCCCCCTCATGTATAGTGCTACATAAATATCCCCTTAAATTGGGCTGTGACCTAGGAATTAAGTCCAAGCTGGCGTGGGAAGTTGCCTTGTCCTTCCTTTTGCACCTTCATTGTGTTAGATCTTTGTTTCTTTGTAATGCAGAGTTTCTGCACCTGACAGGTTTTGAAATGGTGATAATATCTTTTCAGTGGAATACTGCTAGACAGGAAGCCATAAGCATATTTAAATACAAATCTTATGGTAAACCATAGGGAAATGGACAGGAAATTTGCAACTTGATAGCTCATACTGAATAGGAATGGGATTTCATTTGGCAGACTTGACACCGCATTTATCTGTTAAAAAAGTAATGTATAAAAATACATTTAGACAGCTGGAAAACTATTACATTTGTGTTATAACTGTCTTATGACACCTGAAATAAGACCCATACTTCATAAAATTGTCTGCAGGGTACTTCAGGGGAAAAGGTATTATAGATTATGATGGGTATGAAAGCAATCTGAAATGTCCAACAACCCCCGTTGAACATGCATACAAAATGTGTGTGTGTGTGTGTGTGTGTGCGTGCACATGTGCTCATTTATATCTTGCCTTTGTGAAAAAATCTGTCATTAGAAGTTAAGTTTAAATTTGATACTATTTGTTTCTTTAAACTGCTATATAGTTAAATAATGTTGAGCTATTGGTATCATTCTTCTGTGCTGTATTTAATTAACACCATGTACATGCATACACACATCTATATTTAGTAAGATTTCTTTTATTTATTTACTAAAATGTTTATTTGTACCCCACCTTATATTATAGTATTTTAGGTATAGATAAAATATTTTTTTTAATTCTGTATTAAAGCAATTAAATTAAGCAGAATAAAAACATACTAAACATGATGAGTGAAAATAGCCCAAAATGCAATGGCAATTAAAACAAATGTGTATGTGCACATAAAAGTACCTTATGCCCCAATGGCTTTAACAAAAAAAATTTTTGACTTGGCACTGGAAAAAATGGCATTCCACAGGTGGAGCATTACTGCTGAGAAGTTTCTCTCTCAAGTCTTCCCATGCCATAGTTGGAATGCCCTCCTACCTGCATTAATCTTTTTGGGAAACTCCAAGTATTAGGGTTTTGCCTGTTATTACTACAATGCTAGAAAAGGATCTGATGGTTAGCATCCTTAGGAGAATGGCTAATGTCAGTAGTTATTGACCTCTTCTGCATGACATTTGTCCTTAATATCACTTTCTTTGAACCCTTGCAACCGAATAAGGCTCTATTTTGGCTTCACATAACCAGTGTCAATACTTTGTGTGTCTCCTTCCATTCCCACTATGCAAATTTCATACTAAAAATTTTGCAAAATTTCAGTACTTGTGACTCTTTCTTTCTACTTGCAGAGTGATCGTCTTCTTATTAAAGGAGGAAGGATAGTTAATGATGATCAATCATTCTATGCTGACATTTACATGGAGGATGGCCTAATAAAGTAAGTACTGTATAAGGTTCCTGTACCCTATTACCTGTTTTTGTGAGCAATCCAAGCATTTTCTTCCCTTGCAGAAAATGGGACTTCAGGAATTCTTCTGTACTTTTCATCTCATGTACTCTGGGGTTATTAATATAGAATATATTTGTCTATCTAAGTGTATTTAAACTGCCATGGTATTGAGAAAATCTTGACTGAAGATAGGACAAGCATGATTTATGTTTTGTTTCTGGCATAGCTGATGCATTATAAAAATAACTGCTATGTTTATTACTGCTAAAATTGATAAAAGGATTGCTTTAAAGAAGCTGTTTCTTTAAGATTCCAAGCTGTTTTAAATAAAAACTATTATGCCTTGTGTTTTGACTGGCTTCTGGATGCATTTATGAAGTCACAGTAATAACTTTAGTGGTTACAAGCTGAAATTGTTCTGGTGTGTAAATACATGCAATTATGATTAAATCCCTGTGCAGCAGATTTGGGCTGTGGGATATTTTATAGCCAAAGATCTCAAATGTTCTTTGCCCTTAAAATACAAAAGCAAATATCTAAGTACTTCTGCAGGAAATCTTTTTAAAAGCAGCAGTTGGGAAATAATATATAAGAGAATAGGAAAGTTCTAATTTTTAGCATCTGAGGAGAAAACGTAGTTTATTGACTGCTGGTGTGTTGCCGCAAAAGACATTTGAAAGTACTATCTGCTGGAGAATGTCTAGAACTTACAAAAGAAATCAAATGTGAACTCACTGACACAGTTGTTTTTAAAACTTTCTTCCTACATCTCCAAGAAAGATGTAGCTACCATGAAGTGCCCGTTTTTATATGAAACCAGATCTGATACAAGGAATACTTTGGAGAATGTAATACTTCAGGATTTCTTCAGTTAGGATTGAACTAAATTTCTATCTAACATGTTCACAATTATTCTTTGCATACTTGAAATTGTATATTTGTCTTTGGACATTCTGCAGTTCAAAGAACGAATAGTAACAGAATATATTAATTTATTCACTGTTATCCTATAGAGCAGAGAATGGTTCACATATTCAGAAGAGTTTATAGTGGAAGGTTTGGAGCATAAATAAAATATTTAGAATAATAACATCATAGTATTGGAAGAGACCAGAGACCACATGGGCAACCTAGTCCAACCCCCTGCCATTAACTTCTCTTTTTAGGCATGCCACAGGATACCAGGGTAACTACTGTTAAGTACAGTTTTAAAAAACATAAAAACTGAAAACAAAAAAGCAAGCTTACAGATGAGAAGATAAGAAAATCTCAAAGATCAGAGAAACCATGAGCCTTTGCAATGAAAGAGTATTTGCCTGGTATTTGTATGCCAGCAGGAAGGAGCTACAGCTACTTCATCACACTAGAGAAAAAATCCACTTAAAATCAGGTTTCTGCCTCCTTCAGTATTCTGGAGTTTGTACGAGGGGCTGCAGATAAGTCTTTGGCTTTACCCAGAAAGGAACCAGATAGGAAGATGAAACTTTATTCCACATACTCTCCACTGATAACAACACACTTCTAACATCGGTATTCCAAGTTCTGTAAGCCTTGCAAAAAGAAGGATTTCGGTTGTGACTCAAACCAGTCATTCGTAGCAGCCATGGCATCAGAAATAGTGTGAAATTTGGTCCCCTTGAGGTGTTTCTTCAGGTTTGGAAACAGATGATAGTTGGAGGGAGCTAGATCCTGTGAATAAGGCGGGTGGTCAATCAGCTGGAAGCCTAACTCCACCAATTTTGTCATGGTCGCTTGTGCAGTGTGAGCAAAGGCATTGTCTTGCAGGAACAAAATTCTTTTGGACAGCTTGCCTCGCCTTTTGGCCTTCAGAGCTGCCTTTAATTGGTCCAAAAGTTCAATGTAATGCCTTCAATTGATGATGGAACCATTTTGAAGGTAGTCCACTAGCAGCATGCTCTCCTTATCCTAGAACAGGAGTCCTCAAACTTTTTAAACCGGGGGCCAGTTTACTGTCCCTCAGACCAATGGAGGGCCGGACTATAGTTTTTTTTTAAAAAAAAATCAATTAAAAAATTCCTCTGCACATTGCACATATCTTATTTTGCTGTGTGGAAGGGCCCTTAGAGGGGGTTCTTTCTAGCCCTCTTTAGGCAGTAATTCCAGGAGCAGAGAATGGGAAATCTTCCTATTTCTAGTCTGAACAAAATCTGGCTACCAGTATTTAAAAAAACTCTAAAATTATAACTGTAAATAAAGAACAACACTCAAACACAGGGGAACTCCAGACAAGAAACAATCAGGGCCAGCTAATCACCTCTCAACAAAGGATTCTCCCTAAAAACTGTCAGGCTATGAAATGGTCAATCAAGGTGGCCAATTGAAACATTCATACCTACCTCCAACAGACAAGAGTTCTTTCTCCCACCCTGGATCTTCCACAATTTTCCTTTAAAGGTTTTCCTCTGACATGAAGTCCAGTCGTGTCTGACTCTGTGGTGCTCATCTGCATTTCTAAGTCGAAGAGTCGGCGTTGTCCATAGATACCTCCAAGATCATGTGGCCAGCATGACTGCATGTAGCGCCGGGGCAGCCTCCCTTGGCTGGCTCACTCTGTCCATGAGGCCTGACGGATAGCGTGAGCCTGCCAAGGGAGGAGCAGGCCCGCGTGGCCTAGTTGTGAGTAGACCACGCGGAGCAGCCTCCCTTGGCTGGTTCACGCTGTCTATCGGGCCTGATGGATAGCGTGAGCCTGCCAAGGGAGGAGCAGGCCCGCGTGGCCTACTTGTGAGTAAAGCACCTTGCGAGGTGCTTTACTCGCGAGTAGACCATGCGGAGCAGCCTCCCTTGGCTGGCTCACGCTGTCCATCAGGCCTGACGGATAGCATGAGCCTGCCAAGGGGGGAGCAGGCCCACGCGGCCTACTTGCGAGTAGACCATGCAGAGCAGCCTCCCTTGGCTGGCTCACGCTGTCCGTTGGGCCTGACGGATAGCGTGAGCCTGCCAAGGGAGGAGCAGGCCCGCACGGCCTACTTGTGAGTAAAGCACTTCGCGAGGTGCTTTACTCACGAGTAGACCATGCGGAGCAGCCTCCCTTGGCTGGCTCACGCTGTCCATCGTGCCCCAATAGCATGTGTCAGCCAACGGAGGGGCACTGTGGGGGGGGCTCCTCCTGCGCGGGCCAGATCAGGGCCCTTGGCGGGCCAGAAGTGGCCCACGGGCCGTAGTTTGGGGACCCCTGTCCTAGAACATAGACACCATCACCTTAGTTGCTGATTTTTGCACCCTGAACGTCTTTGGATGAGGAGGACCACTGTGCGTCCACTCTTTTGACTGCTCCTTGGCTTCAGGGTCATACAAATAAATCCAGGTCTCATCCATAGTGACCAGTCAATCCAGGATGTTCTTATCAGTCTGGAAACGCTGACAAATGGACTGTGAAGTTTTCACCCACATGCTTTTCTGACCTGTTGTCAAACATTTGGGGACCCAATTTGCAGAGAGCTTCTTCATGTTGAAATGTTCATGGATAATGACACAAACACGTTCATGAGAAATCCCCATGATGTCTGCTATTCCTTTAGCTGAAATTCGCCGATTCTCCAGTATGAGGTTGTGCACAACATAGATGATCTCTGGAACAACAACCACTCTCAGTCATCTAGAACATTCCTCATCACTGGTGCTGAAACGGCCCATTTTAAATTTAGCAACCCAGTTCTTAACTCTAGAATATGAAGGGCATTGATCCCCTATTGTCTGCGACATATCACCATGAATATCCTTTGCGAACTTTCCTTACAGAAACAAGAATTTTATCACTCCTCTGCTCTCATTTGCTGTGAATATAGCCTTAGACTCTGCCATTTTGTTTTCCTGTGTACCTAGATCATTGTTGCCATAAGCTACAAACACAAAATTTTGCAAACATATATGAGACACATACAGCTTTCATGTGATGTAACATTCATTATCACAGAAACAAAACAAGAACACAAAGCCAAAGACTTATCAGCAGCCCCTCGTACTTTAGTGAGGCAAGAAAGCACTAAAGAGACACCAACCCACCATGTTTTCGGGTAGGCATTGCAATAGGCCAGAAAAAGTGCTATGGCAGACAGAAGTACTGCATTGAGCCATATATAAATTGATAGAGTTTTTTGAGTTGATATTTTTATACCATTTTTGACTTATGCAGAAATATATATGATATTGTATGTTGCTATCAGCTGTTTACTGAAGCATTTTTATCTTGCTTTTCTATTAATCTGGTCCAGAAAAATTATAAGAAAAAACATAAATACCCCTAAAAATGAACATTGTGAAAATGCAATCCAGACCTGCACAACCTGTGGTCTTCCAAGGTGATTAAGACTTCCAGAAGCCCTAGCCAGCATGTACACTGATCAGGAATTCTGGGAGCTGAAGTCCAAAACACCCAGAGGGCCACAGATGATGACTAAATTCTGCAGTGTTATATAAAAATATCAGATACTTATTTTTTTAAAAAAAAGAAAATCACTTAGACGTTGTCATTGCATGTGTGTGTTTCTTGACTCCTTTGTTCCCATTTATTCAGGCAAATTGGAGACAACTTGATAGTCCCTGGAGGAGTGAAGACCATAGAAGCCAATGGGAGAATGGTTATTCCTGGAGGAATTGATGTCCATACCCACCTGCAGATGCCATATAAAGGAATGACAGCAGTGGATGACTTTTTCCAAGGAACAAAAGCAGCTCTGGCGGGTGGCACCACTATGATCAGTAAGTTCAAGAGCAAACCTTCCCTTGAAGTTAAATAGTAGTTTTTAGTACTTCTATACTAGTAACCACATATTTATAGCTGATGACAAGTTTCCATGTTAGCTGGCCACTAGAAGATGTGAATCATGTCCTTTTTATGGCAACCTTTGAATTATAGCTGTTATTCAGTAGTGCTGTTTGATCTCCTGATTTTTCTGTTGTCTGAAATCTTTAATTTTCCCGTTGTGCCTTTTACTCAAGTAGAGAATGTTTATTAGGGGTGAAAATTTTGATTTTTCTAGCACTTCTTCCTAATTAGAAGTAATGTTTGGAGAGCACCTGTCATCCTAGAATGCATTTTTGAGCAGCACACCAATACTGTGTTGGAACACCTTTTTGAAAGGCATCTGTAGTACATAGTACTTGCAATAAGAAGATGAGAGAAAGGAAGGGAGAAAAGAGGGCAGGGAGATGGGGTAGTCTACAAATAAAGTTTTATTATGAAAATGTTCTTTTGTGAATGGATTTGTGCTTTATAGATCCAGATAGAACCTAATTCTAGTATGTCCATGTGGTTATATTCCTTTGAACTGTTTATTTTGTTTATTATTATACCTCTAGCCTTTATGCAGTTACGGTTGATAACTGGTTTCTGTTAAAAGGCTCATTTTTCCAGACTAAGTCCATAGAAAATGCTACTTTGCACTTCCCCAACCAAGAGGAGAAATACTGTCTCAAAACTGCAAAAAGCCTCAGTAAAGCTCCAGACTTTTTACATTAAGGTATTCACTTGAAGGTCTCCCAGGTGCTGTACCATCTCTTCTGCTTTGCAACCTATATGACTTTATTACATGTTGGCATTAACTAGTGGATCGTTCATGAAGTCTCCCTCACCCCTGAAAGAATGGCAAACAATGTAGCCCCCCCCCTCCAAACTTTACGAAGTATTTAAAAGAATTCAAAATACCTGAGAAAAAGGGATTGAGGGTTAGATCATTATAATTATGTAGTGATATTTTGAGAACTATAATCTTTGTAATGGGAAATTCCGCACCTCTCTATATAAAAGCCAAAGTCTGTATGTATCTTTATATGTTTGTTTGATCCACAAAGCTTGATGGATTTGGACCAAACATGGTACACATACCCATCATGATCCAACAAAAAAAATACTGGTGCTGTATGGGTGGGACTGATAGAGGATATTGGGAGTTATGGCCCAACCACATTTGGAGAGCCATGTGATTCTCACCCACAATGGATCTGGACCACACTTGGAACACATACCCTTCATGATCTCAATTTAAATCCTGGCGTGGTTTGTGGGGCCCCTTTAGAGAATGATGAGAGTTGGAGTTCAACTATAGACACATGTAATTCCCTCCCACCGCTGAAGATGCAGCTCTCCTCCTAATTAATCAGACAGCTCAGCCTACTTGCCAGGCAGCATCTCTTAACAGCCTTAGCCCTTAACTAGGCAGGCTAGGGATAACGGGCATTGCAGCCCAACATGAAAGCTGAGCCATCTGAGTGGTTAGGAGGAGAGCTGAGAGTTGCAGCCCAGCCAGATCTGAGGCTAATGAGAGTTGCAACCAGCCAGATCTGGAGCTGATGGGCGTTACTGCCTGTCTAGGTCTTGGTGTGATGGGAGTTGTAGCCCAATACCTTCATGATTAAACTGAAAATGCTAGCGGGGTGGAGGGTGTCCCATAACTGAGTTGGAATCTAACATTTAACTGCCGTGGGTTAATGCTATGAAATTTTGGGATTTGCGTTTTTGTGAGATACTTACCCTTCTCTGCCAAAGGGTGCTGGTGTTCACCAAATGCAAATCCCAGGATTCCATAGCATTGAACCCGGGCAGTTAAAGTGGTGTCAAGCTGCATTAATTCTATAGCGCAGATGCATCCTCAACTCATTAAATAGGAAACTTTGTTTTCTTGAAGACCGAACTAGAATAGTTAAGATGTCTTACACAGGAATATATTATAGATGTTGTTACTGTTATGTCAAGAGTATACATTTCAACTCATTTCTTTCACAACACTAGTGAAGTTTGTATGTTTGGGGCAGGATGGCTATTGGGTCTATGTAGTTTGCATGGGGTGAAAATTTGTGTACAGGAAAATCCCATCACTGCTCATATTTGGAGATTGTATGGTAGGTAATCTGTAGTCTGAATTACTTTGCTTTTTTGGGAGGCTCTATTAATATGTTTTACTTTGAACATTTTTTCTCTTTGTAATTTATGATGACAAAACCTGTTTTTGGTGCATAACGTGGGATAGAAATACATATGGCAATGCTAGATACATTAGGATTAGTGTTCTTCAACTTCTTCTATGAAGGGTTGTCTTTGAAGACAACTCAGAAACTGCAATTGGTGGAAAGATCAGCAGCCAGGCTACTAACTGAAGCTAACTATAGGGAACACACAATGCCCCTACTAAAGCAGCTCCATTGCCTGCCGATAAGTTTCCGATCCGAATTCAAAGTGCAGGTTATTAGTCATAAAACCCTAAACGGTTCGAACCCTGTCTTATCTTCATGACCGCACCCCCTCCCCCCCATGAACCAGCATGGACTCAAGATCTGCCAGGGAGGCCCTCCTCTTGGTCCCGCCACCATCACAAGTGTGGTTGATGAGGACGAGGGAGAGAGCCTTCCCGGTAGTGGCCCCTGGCTTTGGAACGCCCTCTCCAGGGAGATCAGGCAGGCCCTCACAATCTCCTCCTTCCGTAGGGACCCAGAGACCTGGCTGTTGAAACCAGCTTTTGAGAACGCCTAGTCCCTATTGTTCTACGCAATAGTTATGCAGCCTTGCACTTTATGCCATGCCCTCTTTCCATGGTTACAGCTCTGCACTTCCCCTAATCTCTTGTCCTATGTATACAGCCTGAATGTTTACAGTAGTTTACTTCCATTGGTTGATAAGTGCTGTTTGAATTTGAGTGTTAAGTTTTGCTTTTATGCCTATTTGTTTTTTTCAGTTGTATTTTATATTGTGTTTTACTTTATGTTCTGTTTTTTGGCACTTTGTGCCATGTGTAAGCCACCTCAAGTCCCTTCGGGAGAAAAGGAGGCGGCGGGATACAAGAATAAAGTGATCATAAGTATATTTCCTTGAGTGCGTTTCTGGAGAAAATTTAGGAAGTTGCCCTGCATGTTCTTATTGTGGTTTATAGCAGTGTATGTTTTATGTTATTGTCACTAAAAGGCCATGGGGAAAAATTGGTGTGGTCATGTCATTGGAGTGGATGAACTACATGGTTTGTAGGTGAGGTAAATATCCTCCAGTAGAACCCCAAGTTAATTGACGTTTGTGTTGCAACTTCTATGAAAAATTTAGTATCTCTGGGGAAAATCATACCCACTGTATAACGACATGTGGAATAACCATACTTAGCTTCATTATGTTACTATGGATTTGTTTTTGACAAATTTGATATTTTTTTTTCTGGAAACATGAGAGTGATGCATATGTACGCAGGAGTCAAGGTTTAAATCTTTGAAGCAAGTTTTACATGGCTTAAAAGAAACATTAAAATAATGTCACATTTTCATCGGTTAGGAGGTAAAAAATGTGCATACAAATATGCTTCCTGAAAGGAAGAGCAGGGCACCTTGCCCAAGTGTGTCTTGGAAGAGGAACAAAATGATCTCCCAGCATACCCCGGAGGCAAAAAATAAATAAATAAAAATGGAAATTCTTCTATAAGCAGGCCCGGGCTCACAGCTTAGTGCTGCTGTGGTTCTTATGGCTTATTGAGCTGCAGTATCTTGCAAGTATGAATGCACTTGGTTGAAAACTTTCTTCTTACTCCTCCATTTCTATTGTGGCAGGAACCACAGAGTCTGCCGCATTAAAAGACTGCAGTAGATGCTTGAGATTACATCACGGGTAATAAAAGGGTACATTAGACTACATTTTTGGAAGCCACACATTCTTTTTATAAGGAGTGGTACTGAGAGATACAGATGCTGGAAGTTGCTACTTCCCATTCACTTCTCGGCAAGACTGCTAAAATCATATGGTGTAATGCCAGAAACCATTAATCCATAATGCTTTTAGTTTTTTCATCTCTCTCCTGGTAAATGCACCCTAGACACATTTGAGAAATGGCAGTCCGTAAGATTCGAGGTGCTGCTTGTGCTTCACATGCTTTCTAGGAGCTCTGAAATATAGCAAATTGTCTTCAGTAGAAAATGCTGGAATAGTCCCTATTCATAGTTCTAAAATGTTCCAAACTCTGAGGTCTGTCTCATACTTCTCCTTTTCCCAATTCCTTTCTGTTAAGTACCCTGTTCAACACATCCATTGCATCCACTTAAACATTCTTAACAATTGTTTGCATGGTTTTTCCTATTTAAAAAAGAACATTAAAATGGTGTTGCAACTATTTAGACAGTGCTCCAAATAAGATTAAAGCATGTGAAAAAGGACTTTATCACATCAGGCTATCCAATTGCAATTATAGCACTATGATTGTGATTTCTGGAGGAACTTATCACATGACTTTGGTGCTTGCCTGTAGCAGTTTTGTGTTCATAATTGTAGTGTTTTTCTACATGCATGAGAAAAAAGGGTCAATACTCCAAATAACACTGTCATAATGCTATTGAATCCGTGCTTGTTGATTTCTCCTGGTGCAATCACAATATTCAAATAGTCACATGACTTTACTGGCCATGACTCCCATTCCTTTTCTGTGCAGTTGTGCAGATTCAGTGGGGAAAAACTTTAATAGCTACGTAGACACTGGATAGGGGGCCATACATGAGAAGGAAGACAGGGTCAGTGATGTCAGTGGAACACTAATCGTTGGAACAATAGAAAACTAGGTGACATCAAAGTTGTAATGAAGTGGAAGAAAGAAAGTGAATGTTTCAGTAACAGTATGTTTCTATTTGCTTAAAGATCGTGATAATTGCAATAAATGTATGTATTTAATTACAGTTTTTGTATACCGCTTTTCTCACCCCGAGGGGGATTCAAAGCATCCTTGTGTGATAAAGTCCAGCATTTAGTTAGCTGGTTTCTGGAATACACAATACCACATTTTAAAAATCAGATTAAAAACTTAAATCATTATACCCTGTGGTGTAGCACATAACTGTGTGCTTCCTGATAATAGCCAAGAATGATTAGACATATATACAATATATAGTATCAGGCATGTAGCCAGGGGGGGGGCTCGGGGGGCTTCAGCCCCCCCCGAAATTCTCATGGTGGTTCGTGAAAAGGCCTTATTGGTGCATTATTTAAACTGTTATGTTTATTCATATCATGATCTGATTACCATACTCAATATATCCCATATGCATGGGGTTATTGGGGTAATGATACAAAAGGTTTGCTAGGCTAGACCCTCTTTCACTCAGACTCCCACCCCCCCGAAACTCAGCCCCCCCCCGAACCCCCCCTGAAAAAAATTCAGCCCCCCCCCCCCCCCGAAACGAAATCCTGGCTACGGGCCTGTATAGTATGATGTCTGGAATTGGACATGAAGTGTGGGGGGAATGGCCCTTTGGGTATTGAGCACCTACTTGAAAGAAATCATTTCCAGACAGGAGGAAGTTCTCTGCTACAACTTGTTGCTTTCTCCCCACAGTTGACCATGTTGTACCAGAGCCAGAGTCCAGCCTGATAGAAGCATATGAGAAGTGGAGAGAATGGGGTGATGGGAAGGCTTGCTGTGACTATTCACTACATGTGGATATCACCCTTTGGAATGACAGTGTGAAGCAGGAAGTGCAGACACTCATCAAAGAAAAAGGTTTGCCATAGCCAGTTTCCTCTTCTTTTTGCATCCTGCTCATGTGGTAAAGTGTACAAGGCAAGTCTTATCTGTGCCACAGTTTCTGCTGCCTCTTTCAGGTGATAAATAAATATTTCACCTAGAAAATCTTGGCTGTAACATTTCTGTTCTACATGCTCTCCATTTATGTAGTCTTTGACTGTATACTGTAGATGTCTTCTTACAACCCTTTCTACACTATCACACTTGTAAATGTTCATGGAGTAAAATGAAACCAGTTTGTTTGACAGATTCTTCAGGGGTTTTTTTATAATGAGTGCAAAAATAATACTCTGCATATCTCAAGACATATGAATAATTTTTTCTCTTTCTAACAAAACATTTTAAAAATCAAAAGGAAAATTGAACTTCTTTCACAAGAAAAAGCTTATGTGGTTATACTCTTTAAAAATTAGGAAACCATTCATAAACTACATTATTAGTGGTACAGAGTATTTTGAATGTAATTACTGGTTATCTTTTCCAGTTGCCCAACACATGCTTTCTTCCATATCATTGCATCCTTATAATACAGAGAGTAGCCTATTCTCCCTATTAGATTTCAGTAAACAGTATTTTAAGATGTGGCCCAAGCTTAATAAGTATTTTCTTTATAACAACAACAGCAACTTTATTTATAACCTGCTCTATCTCCCCGAGGGGATTCAGGGCGATTTCCAACAAAGGATGGCAAACATTCAATGCCATAAAACAGTACAAAATGTACAAATAGCCCCATGAATAAAACATCTATAACAAATTATAACAACTACTCACAAAGTTTAAATAAATAAAACATTTGAAGTTAAGTCTTCTGGTTAATTGAATGGGTGTTTATGTTTTAGTAGGTGCTTGATTATGAGTAGTTTCCTATGATACTAATACAACATAATTTAAGATTACGTTTAAGAGCAGGAATTTGCTTATATGAACTCCCAGGCTTAAGTGATTCTAACTTCCTTTCCTTTGTCTCACATGGCCAGAAAAAAGTTCTGTGGAACGTTGGCTTGATAACTATGTTAGTGTCAAGAAGTAATTTAATAGGACAATAAACAGAAAGATTCCTTTTGCTGCTACCTTTTGCAGGAAATTTCCATTTCACTGCATGTATGTTAATTTTTCATAAGACTTGTGGACATGTTCATTTAGAATAAGATGAAGTAGAGCTAGAGCACAAAATAGTATTTGTCAGCTTCCTCCCTTTTGTCATCTTCTCCTTTAGGAGTTAACTCATTCATGGTTTACATGGCCTATAAGGATTTATACCAGATGTCAAATACAGAGGTAAGAACAGTACTCTTCTCTTGTGCTGTCTATATGCACTATCACTTATAGTCCTTTATAGGGGTGAATCTGTAATTATTGGCAATAATTTGGAGTTAAAATTTATTAATATTGTGTTTTAATTTGTGATTCTGAGCCCCTTGGTTGGCCCAGGCAAAATTATGAGCTTAATAAAATAATAGCACAGGAGGATTTAGTAATAAAATAGGCTTTGAAGTTCTATGACCTACAGCCACCTTTTTGTATCACAGATAGTTAATGGCTATTCATTAAGATAATGGAAACACCAAGTTTGAGAGGTAGTACACTCAAAGGACAAGATACAGGAGACAAACAAGAGATGGTTGTTGCCTGTAATGTCCTGTTTATACTTCGATTGTAAGGCTCATGGGTCCCCTCAGTGTGCATGGGGTGTGGGTAGTTTTCTTTTGGCCTAAATGACTAGCCATGCCCTTAGGCATAAACAGAAGCACAATAGGACATTTCATGGCTATTCCCCACCCATCAACTCCACCTGTATTTAGCCTGAAACCAAGAATGACTTTCCAGTTACCTCTGTTTCTAAAATCCTGCTTGCTCAAAATTTGTTTAAAATCGAATGTTCCATTAGCGGACGTCTAGCTCTCATGATTGCAGGTGACTGCTTTAAATTGGTGTGCCAAATGCTCTTGACCTCATTGTCAAAACAAATTGCTTATCTTGTGAGATTATTTTTGCTACTTTTTATTCAAATTTTGTAATACTGTTATGCTATTTATGTATGGCATACAAAGCTTTCAAGCTCTTTTAAAGAAAAGACACATGGTACATATAATAATAAATATATGTATGTTAAATGTGCCTTTAAAATGCAATTCATGAGGTAGAAGAGAGGAACTGAGATGCTAATACCAATGTAGAGTATGATGAATAGATTTTTAAAAGCCTGAATTGAAATCCAGCAATTTGCCCTAAGACAAATATTTAGTCTTACTAGAATACAGTACTAATCTTGTTTGTTTAAACATCTTATTGCTCAAATATTTTTGAAGTCCTCCAGGGCATCTGATTATGAGGTAAAAGTGTAATTAGGAATCATAAGTTTTATCTAGTAGTAGTTTGCTGTGCCAAATCCAGTGCCCCCTCCTGAGCACCCCCTCCTCTCTCCTTCTCTTTGTTTATCTTGTTCATTTCATTTCTGTGTTAATGTGAAACAAGGAGATACAGCACTTGTCTTCTAATAATGTCTTTCTTATTGTATCCTCTTTTTCAGCTGTATGAGATATTTAGTTTCTTGGGAGAGCTTGGTGCAATAGCTCAAGTTCATGCTGAAAATGGCGATATCATTGCACAGGTGATGTTTTCTCTTTTCTATGATCACAACACAAGATATAAGCAAGATAATGTAAATATATATCCCAGAGAAAGAGTGCTTTGTGGCACATAGTGCAACATTTCCAGTGGGTCTTTTGAACATGTGGTCCTTAGTTACTAGCAGAGAAGGGAATACAAACACCAGAATCAAGCTTAAGCATTGTTATTACCAAATAAGACCCTAGGGCCTTTGGTCAGCAAAGGCTGGCTCATTATTTCGTTTTAATTATTATATTTTATTGTATTTTAATGTTATCTCTATACAGTAATATTCCATTGTTTTGAATTGTTTGTATTTGCTTTGTTGTAAATTGTCATTTGATTGTGTGGTTGTTAACCACCTTGAGTCCCCACAAGGAGAAAGATGATGATGATAATGGTATTTTTTTATGACTTCAAGTTAATTAGCAGGGCAGCCAATGGGCAGAAACAAAGACTTGGATCCTCTCAATCCCCATGCACTCACTTGATTCACCAAGTTTTTCTTTGTGGACTCTGTGAATGCACACATGTGGAGTATCTGCGCCTGTGCAGGCTCCAACGGAAAACTTCCAAGTTTAAATCCAAAGTTTTGGTGACTTTTTAGAACATGAATTCTAACCCTTGCATTTCCATTGTTATGTTTCATGTGTGCTTTTGTAAATGCCCACAAAGATTAACCACATGCACACAAAAGAACCAATTGATAGATTTAGCTATGCATTGCATTACTATGTTGTATAATTACAATTCCATCATTTTCTCAATGCCTTGAATTAACTGTCTACCACATTTCTTTTAACTGGTTGTTTTGACGAAAGCCAAAGAAAAAGAAGGCAGGGCAATGAAGTCAAGGAGAAAATATATTTGATCATATTTGGATCCATAATAAAATCCTAATCCAAGTCTCATTGTTCATTGTGTTTATGTTTTTAGGAGCAAACTAGGATGCTGGAGATGGGAATAACTGGTCCAGAGGGCCATGTGCTGAGTAGGCCAGAAGAGGTAAAGTATCACTGGTTCCGTTTCATGCGGGAGGATTTTTTATCTTGCAAGTTACCTCCAGTATATTTTAGGTCTTTCTCCACCTAGTGTATTGGTACAAGTTCCTCATATAAACCTAAACCAGTTCCAGAAGAAATTCATTATCTTGATCTTGTTCCTGAATGTTTTTACTTTTGATAGGTTTTCTAATCTAAATGAAGTTTGTTTTAGAGAAGCAAGTACTAATAAATAGAGTAATGAAATGTTGCATCCACATTGCAATGCATTCGACTAGAATCCTGCTAGTTTCTAATTGAGATTTCTATTTTGTTAAGAATAAGAAACTTAAAGCATTTACAGATGACACTAAAGGGTTTCTTAATCATGAGTTGCTGTCACATTGCTAATTAGATTTCATCTGATATTAGCATCTGGATTTTTATATGGCCTATTAATCTTTTTTTTAAATTGTATACACACACACACACACACATTGAAACATACAATCTTCAAAATTCAGCAGTCAAAATGCAAGTATTTTTCCCCATTCCCACCACGACCACATCCCCCCCCCCCCCAGGAACACTTCACTACTTTTGCTATACTTATTACAATTGTTCAATCATGCGGATAGTCTTATTTAACTCTTTGTATTTATCTTTCCCCTTTATTCTGAAAATGAGACCCTTCCATTTTGCCTTCCAGGTTCTTCTGATTTGGCCCGTCTTATAATAACTTTTCCTTTCATTAATATAATCTTGGAGTAGGTAGTTGGCTAGATATTTATACCAAGTTTTTATATCCCATTTTTTGTGGTCCTTCCAGCCTAGGGCAACTGAGGCTTTAATTGCATCCATCATGTATTTTATTATTTCCTCCCGTTCTTTAAATTCCCCATTTGCCTTCCATTTTATGAGTGAAAAATTGAGTCTTGTTCCATTCTATATTTATTCCTAATAGCTCCTCCATTTCCTTCTTAATTATTTTATGGAACTTTTCGTATTTTTTCACATTCCCACCACATGTGGGTGTCTGTTCCAGTTTTTCCACAATTATGCCAACATAGTTTTGGGCAAGTTCTCGTAATATATGCCAATTGCACGGGAGTTCTATACCATTTTGTCAGTATTTTCCGTCGCATACGGCCTATTAATCTAAACATTTTTTTAAATTTAAAGTTAGTTTTAAACACATTTTAACAGTATTCTGATTTTTTCCCAGCCAATTCCCTTTCCATTCCAATAATATTATAGTCACTGCTGTCAGTTTTGGTTCTGCAGCAGTAAGAGGAATGAAAATTGCAACATACAGCTGGCCTATAATAAATCTATATTCACAAGGAGCAGAAAGTGTGGGGGTTAACATTTTATGTAATGCTTTCATAATTGTAATTGTCATTAAATAGGAAGACTGAAGTGCATTAAATGTTAGTATGCTTTTACCATTGGTTTTGGAAGAAATTTGGTCCCAGTCATCTTGGTAGAGTATTACACATTTCTCTTATTGCTGTTTTTCTAATTGGTTTGAGGATTTTGCAGGGAAAGGAGAATGTCTCTGGAACTTATATAAGTTTTTTGCCCAGCCAGCTGTTCCAGATCTGGGTGGTGCTCTTGTGCAGTTTGCTGCTTCTGACTCAGACCTGTCTTTGGAAGGAACTGTATGTTAGTGATTTACATGATTCCCTTAGTATACATGCTAATGGCATGAGTGGTATGGGTTTTGGTTGCTACTGAATATTTGCAGCCATGTGGAAAACATACCCCTATAGACAGCAGAAATGTTACACAAAGCCTGTAAGAAAACTACACTATAATAATCCAAGGAAATCTAAACCAGTGTGATTGTTTTGCAAGTCATAAAAATACTGAAGAAATATGAGTGGTAGATAACCATATGTATACATATATATACCAATGGTTGTGTATGTAGATTTAAACAAGATTTAAGCAGAAAATGTAAATATGTAAATTTTCCTTTTTTTAGTGCTGCAAGACTTGATCTGACTTGCAGACCTTTTTGCATGAAGTTACACTTTATTGACATTCTTCCATTTATTCTTAAATGGTTCCCAGTTTCTTAAGGAAACATCTTCTTGAACAGCCTTTCAAATAACGCATGGCATTGATGCTCATGCCAGCCATCTTCCCTACACACTGATCTGTATTATGTAGATATGTACACAGACTTGAGAGAATATATAAACTTCACAATCTTAACTTATCTGGCAAATAAAAATATGTAAATATCTATTGTTGCTTGCTGCAGTTTCCTTTCTTTTCGTTAAATAGCTGTTGAATGACAGAAGAGTTAATGTTACTATTTGATATATTTGTTCTTAATGTTTCTAACCAACTGTGGTCGCTTGGTGAGTGGAATGGAAGAGGCAAGTGGGAATGACGATGTTCTCCTTAAGTTTGCTATACAGCAGAAAGAGGAAGGCAGGAATACTGAGACCCATGTTTTAACTTTAAACTATTTTTAACCTTTTTGAGCAGAGTTTTCCAAACTCTGTGACGTAACACATTAGTGTGTTGGGTGGATGCAGTTTGTAGGTGTATTGTGTGCACATAATGAGAAATGACAAAAATCTTGTTTGTTATCTTAAAAATCATATATTTTTAAAAAACATAAATGAAAGGTTTTCATGAGATATGTTGTGTTCCCATACATGAATTACTGTGTCCTGAAATGTTTGGAAAACTCTGATTCAGAGGCAACAGTATATTTCTTGGAAGCTCTGCTAGAACCAGATTCTCCTTATGAGGTTTGTTTGATGTCTTTATGAGTTTTTTCAGGGTCTCTTCAGGAGACTATTGTATTTTTACTTTCCCACTTGAAAATTTCAGTCCTATTCTATTCTAATCTCTTTGGCAGCCTGAAGGCATTTGAGGGTGATGTCAGGCTTAACAGTGGGTGATGTAATGCTCCTAAGATACCTCACTTGATGAAATGTTGAAAGTGTTAGCAGCAAGCTACAAATTCCTGATATCATGCAAGGCAAAAGTAGTCAACAAAATAATGGGAAGGAAGAAAATGCCTAATGTCTTCTAAATGCATAACAAATTGTAATCTATCCAACTCACCCATCACCCTTTATTTTATAAGTTTTCATACTTATTTATTTGTGCAATGCTTTTGATGCCAAATAAATAAACCCTTGCTAGGACTGGGGGCTGCTTGTTTTGCCCAGTTGATTAACTAATGTCAGTGGATCCAAAAGTTGGCAATGCCAATTTATGGGAGGAAGAGAAGGAAAAAATCTTGGGGTGCTACTGCATTCGCCAATAAGGTAATATTCAATAGGGGTGTCAACTCTGCATTGTTGTAATACCCATACGTGGAGATATGCTTTGTGAGTGCTAGGTAAGGTAAAGGTTTTCCCCTGATATTTAGTCCAGTTGCGTCCAACTCTGGGGGTTGGTACTCATCTCTATTTCTAAGTCGAAGAGCTGGCGTTGTCCATAGACACTTCCAAGGTCATGTGGCTGACATGACTGCATGGAGCAGCGTTACACAATTCATATTCAGAATAGCAACACTGCACAACATATGTGAAGGCCTAGGTGCCATTGCTCAGTGCACAGTGACCCTTCCTATACAGTCTCTCTCTGCATTCCTTACCCTCCTTTCTGCCAGTTTAAATATCTCACTGTTGTGTGAAAAATTTAATCTCTATACAGCCAGCATTGCTTTAATTTGGCAACTGGCTCCTTGGCACATCTAGGGTGAATGCAACAGCTTGGCTCAAACATCATAGCAGGAAATGTTTGCCTTCACCTGTTCAAGCTAGTAGGCTGCTATGGTACATGATCAATATTCTGTTTTCAACTGTAAAATGTATGAAAGCGGGAATGTACAACGAGCTGTAGAAAGGCATTTGGGGAATATAGGGAGACATAGAAAGCTCTTTAGGGTGCTCCTGTCACCAATATTAAGTTAATGCTGCCATTGGGTACAATTTGGACATGGTTGAAAGGTGAACACTGGTTAGAATTCTTTTGCTTCATCCCTACTAGAATAGATACATTCATTTAATTGCTGAATTGTGAGTCAATGTGCAGGTATAGCTGACCGACAGACTGACTCTAGTTGGGACTAACAGTAGGATTTATCACTTTATGTTCTAATGTGTCTATTATTTGCAAGGCTTAATTATCCTCTCTGGGAAAGATCACTCAATGAAGTGAAATTCTTTGTGTCATGTGAGGTTATTGATTGTTTCTGAATGTTTTGTAAACTCAAGTTCCTTCTCTGTTTCTAGCTGGAGGCGGAAGCTGTCTTCCGTGCGATCACCATTGCCAGCCAGACCAACTGCCCCTTGTATGTGACCAAAGTGATGAGCAAGAGTGCTGCTGACCTAATTTCACAAGCCAGGAAAAAAGGTGAAAAACTGTGTCTTATATCTTCAGAGCAGTTGAAATCATCCCACTTAACCTGGCTTGAAACACTTGCTTTATTCTTTTGTTTGGTAATGTAAAAAATCCCTCTGTTTTGCATTGCTTAATTATCTTGCCTTTCCAAGTTTTGTTTCTATTTTAAACTTATAAATATCAGTTTAGTCCCCAACCATTATTCAGAGAGATTTTGTCCAGGGTGCCTTTATCTAGGAGGCCCTATTTGTTTACGCTACCTGCTCACTTTTCTGCATGAGGCTGATGGAGCAGACAACCTCCAGGCAGTAACATTCACAACATTCCTGTTGATTATAGTGGCTATGAAGCTCACTGGCTCACTTTGTGCTAGTCATGGCACAGGCATTTGAAGATTTGACATGGGCTCTACTCCAGCACTTGAATTACTACACAGTTGGAGGCATTCCTGTAAGGTTGATTGCGCCCCAATCTTCCAAATGCTTTAACATTCATTTGATTTGTGCCTAAAATCTGGTGTAGCTCTTTCAAGCCCAAGTGATGAGTGTAATGGATCCCCCGGTGGCACAAAGAGTTAAACCCTTGTGCTGGCAGGACCCCTTACCAACAGTTCAGCAGTTTGGGTTGAGCTCCCTCTGTCAGCTCCATCTCCCTGTGCAGAGACACGAGAGAAGCCTTCCCCAAGGATGGTAAAACATCAAACATCCGGGCATCCCCTGGGCAACATCTTTGCAGACAGCCAATTATCTCACTCCAGAAGCGACTTGCAGTTTCTCAAGTCTCTCCTGACATCAAAAAAAGAGAGAGAGAGAGAGAGAGAAAGAGGGGTCTGCCATATTCTGGAATATCAGAATCAGACCAAGTGCCTTAAATATGTAGTTGCCCCCCCCCCCCAAAAAAAAAAAAACTACAGGCCAAATAGGCCCTGCTTCCCTCCGCCCCAAGTTTTTTAGTTTATCTTTATCCTTGGGTAAAAGTAAAGGTTTTCCTTGACATTAAGTCCAGTCTTGTCCAACTCTTTATCCTTAATCTCTCTTATATTTTTTTGTCCCGCCACCAGGCAATGTAGTGTTTGGTGAGCCAATTACTGCCAGCCTTGGAATAGATGGAACACACTACTGGAGCAAAAACTGGGCAAAGGCGGCTGCATTTGTGACTTCCCCACCTCTGAGTCCAGATCCCACGACCCCAGATTACATTAACTCCTTACTGGCCAGGTTGGTGAAAACAAAAATGGGACTACCTGCCTCTCAAACCTGTTATTTGTAAATGTGGGATGTGATGAATAAGATGTTGCCGCCTAAGGGCTTCCAGTGGTAGGACGCATATCTCTCTTGATTAAAAACAAACAAACAAATAGCACTTCTGACAAGTTAATTCTGCATTAACTGAAGGATGCATTTAATCACTTAAAGTGTATGTTTGGTGGAGTGAGCAATAAATAAAATGTATTCAACATATTAGCAAAGATGTTTGGCTTCCGCCTTCTTTGCAGTGAGCTGCATTAAAAGTGACAGTTAGGGATATTATAATCTAAACTGAGATTAAGTGATGTTGAGATCTTAATGATGTGGATCCAGAAATGTTCCCTTTCTTTTCCAAAATACTTGATGGGGTGGCACTTAAATCCCAAGCACAAACAAATCAGAGAAGCTGTGGTCTGCCAAGTTGAAATACGTAGCTTCTCAGGATTTCTAGCAAAGCATCATTCCTGAGATGCATACCCAGAGCTGTGGTTGTTCTCTCCACATACTGAGGCTGGCATCCTATGAGGGAGTGGCTTAAAGAGCTGGGTATGTTTAGCCTGAAGAAGAGAAGGCTGAGAGGAGACATGATAGCCAGGTATAAATACGTGAGAGGAAGTCATAGGGAAAAGGGAGCGAACTTGTTTTCTGCTGCCCTGGAGACTAGGACATGAAACAATGGCTTCAAACTACAAGAAAGGAGATTCCATCTGAACATGAGGAAGAACTTCCTGACTGTGAGAGTTGTTCAGCAGTGGAACTCTCTGCCCCGAGTGTGGTGGAGGCTCCTTCTTTGGAAGCTTTTAAACAGAGGCTGGATGGCCATCTGTCGGGGTGCTTTGAATACAATTTTCCTGCTTCTTGGCAGAGGGTTGGACTGGATGGCCCATGAGGTCTCTTACAACTCTATGATTCTATTATTCTAGTCATATAAATGAAATGGTATGGCTGACTGAAGATTTCTTCATAAAGTAAATGCTGCTGGTACATATAGATCAGGGATGGGCACACTTTCTAACTTGGGGGCCACATGTTAGCACTTCCTGCTAAGAGGACTGGCTGCCTGGTGATAAAAGAAGGAAGGGGAGGAGGAAGGAAAGAGAGAAGGAAGGAAGGATGAAAGGGTGGAAGGGAAGGATGGAAGGAGACAGAGGGAGAGAGGGAGGTAAAGAGGAGGGAGGGAGAAGGAAGGAAAGACAAAAGGGAAGAAAGGTCCAAAGGGTGGAAGGGAAGGATGGAAGGGGAGGAGGAAGGAGAAGGAAAGAAGGAGAAAAAGGGGAGAAAGGGAATGGAGGGAGGGGAAAGAGGGAGGAAAAGAAGGAGGGAGGAGAAAGAGGGAAGTAAGAAAGACAAAAGGAAGGGAGGGAGGGAGGGAGGGAGGGAGGGAGAGGAGGAGGAAAAAGTGGAAGGGTGGATGAATGGAAGGAAAGAAAGAAAGAAGGAAGGAAGAAGGGAAGGATAATATGGTTGAAGGGCATTCCCTTCAACCAAGGGAGAAAGCGGGAGGGCGGGAAAAGGAAGAAAAGGCAAAAGGGAAGGAAAGAAGGAGGGAGAAAGAGGGATGTAAGAAAGGAAGGGAGGGGAGAAGGAAGGAAAGAGAGAAGGAAGAATAAGATGATGAGTGAGAGGAGGGCCTGAGAAAAGAGTCCAAGGGGCCACTTCCGGCCCCCAGGCCTGGATTTGCCCATACCTAATATAGATAGATATATGCAGAGGTGAGGGAATACTTGGAGTCACAAAAGTACAAGGCAGGATTGCTGCTTGATGTTTTCAGGTCAAGTTGGCAGCAATCACTTGTTGATATACGTCTGGCAGAATGTCATAATGGAAGGCTTGCTGATACTTTTTGCATGTTGTTAATAATTTGCTAACAAGGGATAACTTTCCTTGATTGTCCTTTAGTAAGTAGTAGACACTGGATTGAAATCAACCATAAATGGAATATGTATATGGAAGTAACTAATCTTTGGCATATACGGCAATGAATGTCTTTATGTTTGAGTTCCCAGTTGAAAGTCCCAGCTGCAGTCTCCTGCTGATTCTCTTAGATCCAGGCTCTGTATCCATTGCCTGGATTGCTTTGCAGGATGCTGGATCATTGCCATGGCCATGGTTGTGAAATTTTATTTGGAATGATAACTTACCATCATTTCAAATTGAGGACTGTGGTGGTTATCATTACTCAGCAATGAAATGCTTTGCAAAATGAAAAAAGGGGAATACTGAGGAATAATTGGCTGAACTGCATATTGGCATAAAATTGGGTGAATGTGCATCTGTAAACTATCAGTTATTTCATTTTATTTATATCCTGGCTTTTTCCCAGTATGAGAAATGTTGCTCTGCTACTGGAAATGAGAAGTAGTTGGTATATACAATGTAATCTTCAAAGTACATAGGTTGATTGGAGACTTGAAGAAAAGAATGACTTAACTAGACGTGAGTTGAATTGGATTGGAGCAGACCAGCCTGGAAAAACAGCAGTCATTGCATATGATGCTTTAGGCTATTGTTATGTGTGCATGCCTCTGTATAGGAGTCCTGTACTTTTCTGTACAAGAAAAGGAGCCACACCTGCTTCTCTTAAGCTCTCTGCTCAAGACATTCTTGGCCACAGCCCTCAGGAGACTTGTCTGGCGGGAGTATCCTTCTGCCTGCTTATGTGTGTTTTTAGTAGAACAAATCTAACTGACACAAATCTCCTGGCAGTAAACCCGACATATGGCACCAAATTATTAAGAAGAGATAGAGATTATCATTGGATTAGGACTTTGGTTCGGAGGCCCAGACTGAGGCATGCAGCTCAAAGTCTCTTTGAAACAGAAAAATCAGACACTGGCTCCATCTGGAAACCAAACAATCTCTCTAGTTTCCTTTCTTAATGTTTAGACAAGGCTTTAAGGATTTTTCTTTCTCTTCCTTAATTACCATGCATCCTTTCAACTCTGAGTCTCTGGCAGCTAGCAGACGCCAGGAAGCAGGAAGTTTCCATGGGACTCTGTGCACAATCCTTGGGATGAAGGTTGGGCCACTGACTTTGTGTCTTGCTGCCCCCTGGAGTCACAAATGTACAAATATCCGGGGACAAAGAGCCAGTTTTGTAGACGTGAACTTGTATGTTTGTAAAACATTCTAAATAGATTTATTCTAAATTTAGTTGCAATTCTCTTTTATTTCGATTATTGCTGCTTTCTGAGGATGATGATTTTTAAAAAGATTGCATGTGTTTCCTTTCCTTTTCAATGGCATACCTAATAGATAACATCTTTTTCTTTCTCTCTTTCCCAGTGGGGACCTTCAGGTCTCTGGAAGTGCACATTGTACATTCAGTACAGCCCAGAAAGCTATCGGAAAAGATAACTTCACAGCAATCCCAGAGGGGACCAATGGTATTGAGGAACGCATGTCAGTTATCTGGGACAAGGCAGTGGTAAGCATCGAGATCGGGAGGGAAAGGGATGAATCGGGGCTTGCGGTGGGGCTGCTACATGGCTCCTTTTCTGAAAAAAAGTGAATGGGTCAGTATGGATCTATCTGTATGGAATATATTTTGGAATGTGAATGTGCCTGTGATCCTAATTCCCTTGACATGTGACCTTTGGAAAATTAACCCAAAAGAGATTGTGAGCCTTGGCTGACAAATAGTATCTATTAAGAAACTTCTGAAAACACACTTATGCACTTTAGCGTAGGGAGAGGAGGAGGATCAGAACATTTTAACCCATTGGTATTTCTTACAGTATCTGTATTTCTTACATTATTACAGTATTACCAGTATACTGGTGTTAGCCATTTTAAAGCCATTTTACTGTAATTGTATCATAATTGTCTTTAGGGTATATGTTGTAATGTTTTAATCATGCTTTAGTTTACTATGTCTTATTGGAATGTTTTTTTATTATTTTCACATCAATGCTTAATTTTTTGTTGTAAGTTTACTTTAGTTTCTCTACATTATCTTGTATTATTTTGATGTATTTGTATTGCATGTTTCCCTTTTGTTTTGTGTCTGTAAACCGCCCTGAGTCCCTTCAGGGAGAGAGGGTGGTCTAGAAATAATGATGATGATGATGATGATGATGATTATTATTATTATTATTATTATTATTATTAACTACTATTTAACTAATTCATGGCATGAGGAGATCTCATGTTTGCATGAATAGCAACTAGTTTAGTATATAAATTAATTCAATAAAGCCTCTTTTGGTTTAATATGTTGTATGCCTCTGTATAGGAGTCCTGTATACAGGACTTGTTCACTCAAATTCAGTAATGATAGGAAATTGCAGCTGTTGAGGACTATAGGTCAGTTTAGACAATTTAGACAATATTTAGATTGACGCTTGATTGAATTTATATAATATAATATTTATTTCCTTGGCTGCGTTTAGTTTCAACTTAGTACTGTCCATAGTATTCCGATAGACTTGACTATTCATGCCAAATGTGTTGTTTACAGTACTAATTGCCACAGGGAAAATTGATAAGCAAAACCTGTGCAGTTTTTGAAAAGTTTTTCTTGGAGGAGAAAGTCTTCTCCCAAGTTCTGCAGGAAGAGAGGCTGAGCAAGGATTGTTGAGGCTATATCCTCCCACAATCCTTTTTTCGATCTTCCACAATGGTTTCAGCTCCTCTGAATGTTGCTCTGTGCCCCCTCTTGCCATGGAGGGAAAGGGAATAGGGTAGAGGAGGGGCTGGTTAGTCTTCAGATCTGTTCAAAGATGAGAGATGGGGGCTGAGAAAGGAGCCTGAGATTTCTTGTTAGAATTTTCATTTCAGGATCTCATTAATTTTCCTCAAATCTGAATGCTCTTTCCATTCCTATAGTTCACCTGAACATATAAATCTGTGCAACTGTAGCTTCCATTCCACATTACAAGGATCCGACTAGCAAACAGTATCAATCACAGAATGGCAGAGTCAGATGGGGCCTTGCTTTCCTGCCCCAATCTGTTTAAAATAACAATTGGCTAAATACTTCTTGAGAATGAATGGGAACTATTTCCAAATGGGGAAAATGTCTATTCAAAAACAGATACCAGATATCTGCTTTTACTCTTTGTATATAGCACCATCTTATATAGGTTTGATTGCACCATAAAATCTCCCTTTCCAGGCTACTGGGAAGATGGATGAAAATCAGTTTGTGGCTGTGACAAGCACCAATGCTGCCAAGATCTTCAACATGTACCCAAGAAAGGGGAGAATCGCAGTGGGATCAGACAGTGACCTGGTCATATGGGATCCTGATGCAGTGAAAATCGTGTCTGCTAAAAGCCACCAGTCAGTAAGTTTTTTGCTGGTCAGGGAACTGTTTCAAAGGGCAAACTGTCCTCTGTGAGTGTATTTTTTCAAATCATATGCCAAATGCTACTTCTGTATTTAGATGACTCCTCCTTGTTTTGTGACTTGCAGGAAATAAACAAACCCACTAGAAAGAGGAGTTTTATTATCCACCAGTCTTTTCTCCCTTTTAAAGTAGGAGTTGGAGGTTCCAGTTTGGAAAATAAGTTTTACCTCAAGTCTATAATTTCATCCATGCCAAACTATCACTACAATTTAAATACTTGGTTTCCACACAGCAAATTACTAATGCATGTGCTTAACGCTGGAGTAAAAGTATTCATTTGCTAGTAGCAAAAAATATTTTTTGTTGTTGACTTAAAATCTGTCTCAGTTAATATATTTTTTGAAAATCTGGGCCTTTTGTATTCTTTGAATGAGGCATAATTCCTAATCCTGCCAACAGAGTTGTGTCCCCTTTCTCTGGTACTATGATGTTTCAGAGTTTGCGTCTCAAAACTGAGCCACTTTCCAAAAAGGCTTGTGCTTTGTACCTAATGCACACATTGGCCTCTGTATCTTGCAGGCAGCCGAATACAACATCTTTGAAGGAATGGAGCTGCGTGGAGTCCCACTGGTTGTCATATGCCAGGGAAAGATAATGATGGAGGATGGCAACCTTCATGTGACACAAGGAACAGGGCATTTCATTCCTGGCACCCCTTTCTCAGACTATGTCTACAAGCGCATCAAAGCAAGGAGGAAGGTAAAGTAGACGAATCTGGATTGAAATGGGCAATCCTTGGGAGCAGAGGGGTTTAACAAAGACCATTTCATTTAGTAGAAGCTCGACTTCTTACAGAGTTTGGGTTTGTTTCTGTAAGATTATCTCTGAATCTGGACAGGTTCTGAGATCCTTGGAGGAAGGCTTTTGGTCCTATCACTGTCTCAAAGGCAGCCTTCTTGTTGGCTGCTTCCATGTTATGGAGCCCATGGGAAAATGTGCTGGCTTCCAGGTTTCTCTCCTTCCACTAGCAAGCCCTCGCAAACAAAGACCATATATAAACAGACTTTTGCCCATAACTGGTTATTGCAGAAGAATTCTTAATGGAGAATGACATTTGTGCCCTCTCCAATCTATTGTATTTCAAATTGTTTTAATCTGCTAGTTTATTTAAATGTTTTAATATTTTTAAATGGTTCATTTTAGATATTTTAAGTTTAAACCTATGTTGTAAACCATTGTGAGTCAACCCTGGATCGTACCTGACTGGGAGCCCACCAATGATAACTAGATGATATAGGCTATATTTCAGAGGAAGGGACTGGTAAAACCACATCTGAGTTTTTCTTGTCTAAGAAAATACTCTGAAATTCACGGGGTCACCATAATACTTGCAATTTGAAGGCATGTGTGTATGCAGTGAAAAATGTGCAGCCATCTATGTGTTATTTTCCTTTCAAGGAGCTCTTGCTAATGGCTATCTTTTCCTTGCTTTGCTAATGTGCTTCCATCACCATCAGGAGACTGATAGCAGAGGGTTATGATGTCCCTCTGCTGTATGTATGAATGAGAGATTAAGGGAAAGCAAACAAACCACCCCCACCCTTCTGCTGATTCTGGAGATGTGTAAAGATGGAGGTGCTTGCTGTGAGGGCATAGGCACACTGAAAGGTGAAATGCCTTTGCTGTTTGTCAGGAAAGCCAGTGCATTGCCACTACTATTCTCTCCATCTCTTCTCTCTGACAGATGGCTGAAATGCATGCTGTGCCACGGGGCATGTACGATGGGCCTGTGTTTGACTTGACCACCACCCCTAAAGGGGGCACCCCTGCAGGGTCCACTCGGGGATCCCCAACTAGGCAGACCCCCCCAGTAAGAAATCTCCACCAGTCTGGATTTAGCTTATCAGGTAAGCGTGGGGGGGGGGAGGGGCTGTATTGACTCCCACAGCCTGAGGCTCAAGGGAACCTAAAACGTTTCAACTGAAAGAGCCACGATACTTGTCAGCAACACCACAGTGAACTGATTAAGCTCACATCTGGGGTACAGTACAGTAGAAGGAAATGGGATATTTTTGTGGTGGCTTTCCACAGAATTTTTTTGATCAGACCACATTATTTTTAGGATCATCCCCTAGTCCACAGACAGCTATAATGCAACCAGACAATCCATGGTGGACAATCCATGACAAATTACTTACTCTAAAATGTGTGACTGCCACCTACTTGGACAGTTTTCCTTCTAGGGCAGTGGTTCTCAACCTGTGGGTCCCCAGGTGTTTTGGCCTGCAACTCCTAGAAATCCCAGCCAGTTTACCAGTTGTTAGGATTTCTGGGAGTTGAAGGCGAAAACATCTGGGGACCCACAGGTTGAAAACCATTGCTCTAGGGCAATAGTAGAGACGAACATTTCCAAAACTAGCATGATAACTTTTGCCTAAACAAATGCATTAAGAACTACTACTGCACAGAATTCCCCCCTCCTCCTCTCTTTAGGGTAGAAAGAGAACAGGATGGTCTTGGCTTTATTGGTATGTGAAAAATCACTTCTAATTCCTGTTTCTCATCCTCTGTGGCTTTCCTCCTTGTGTGTTCACTGCAGGTACTCAGATTGACGAAGGGGTTCGCTCAGCCAGCAAACGCATAGTCGCACCCCCTGGAGGCCGTTCCAATATAACATCTCTGAGTTAAGCACCCAGTAATTGAAAAAGGGGAAACCATTATTTGAAATAACTAAGCAATGGTACCTTGATAATATTTAAGAAAGAGCAGTGGAGAAGAGTTTGGATTTTGAAGAATCAAGAAGCCTCAAGCCTTATGTTTCATAAATGCTACTCGCTACCTAGCTTTAAAAAATATTGCGGGTTTTCCTTTTTGTTTATTCATAGCCTTAATATTTTTTCCCATTTTTTACATGCATGCAAATCTGACAGGTGACTAAGTTAAGAGTATGTAATTGTACATGGTGAGTGCTTGTGTGATGACACATTGTAAGCAGGGGACTGGAGACAGGCAGGAAACTAATGACATGAGCAAGCTGTTTAGCCAGGTTACTTGGGCAGAATCAACCAAGGAGTCTAGTCTTGGGGATGGGAGGGGGCAGCTGGTGGTGGGGCAGGGTAGTGGGAGGCGGATGGGGGGACCAACTAGATCTGTGTATTGTGTCCATGTTTTTCTGTTTACTCTCAATGCTGATGAGACATAGTTGCCTCTGAGCACTACGTGAGGCCATTGGAAAGCTCAGCCATCTTTGTAATGGCTCTGTTGTATCACCGCTTCCTGTTAGAGATTTTATTACTTCGTACATTTTATTGAATAAAAAATTGAAAGGCATGTTCTTTCTAATTGATTTCCTGTGACTATGTAATGATATTTTTTCACCTCAAGACAAATCCTGTCATTAACCTCCACCCATTTGGAGAAGGATGGATGAGAGGAATATCAAAGAAATACACTCACATGCATCTCATTGTCTAATCCTTGCCACCTCTGTTTGCTTTCATACTACATAAACTGCTCAGTGAGCCGATAAAGGAAGATACAACTTCCTGAGTACTTTTTCAGCAGCATGCGCCAATGGCTTTGAAGGGACATCCTTTCTACTCTTAACTTTGAGTCAAACAAAGGCCTTTCACAGAAGGATCTGAACCCATAGTAGTACATTGTCATGATAACTTTGAGAAGTAGGCAAATGTATATCCAACACATGATAGTCCCCTTATGTCTTGAATTTGCAAGTGCACTAATTTCCTTGCTTTTCACAGATTGGCAACTGTGGCTTATGTATGAACTGCATATTCTAGACAGTGTCAGATTCATTCTTAGCCAATGAAAATTATATTTAATATGGTTAAGTATCTGCTATCAGTTTTTAAGTACACAAATTCCAAATGTGTTGAAACATATTTTTGTTTATACCAGGTTTGCCTCCTATCAATCTTTTTTAAATTTTAAAAAGAAATACTGAATACATGGTCAATTTCATAGGTAAATTAACAGTAAAGTGTGTAATATATATTGAAGGAATCGCATTCAAGTTGTCATCTGTCACAGGCTGTCATAATTGTAAATATTAACTATTTGGATCAGACCAAATGAATGTGAGACCATGTCTTTTCACAGGAGCTCATGATAAAGTTATTCCAGGTGAGAAACAGCTGTAGATGACTATTTGATTTCAACAGACTGAATGTATGTCTCTAGGAGCCAATGGATGCAAATATCCATCCTTAGCACATTGGCAACAGGGAAATCTGGTCCACCACATAACTTAAGTTGCACTGCCGTAGAGAAATTCCTGAAGCAATTATTTCTTCAAACAGATAATATTGCATCACACTATCTGATAGTAAAGACAAGCAGTTTTAGAAGGGCCCCATTGATACTGATTATCCCTACTGATGAACCATTTGGCATTGGGAATGTGTTCCAGTTCCCAGCCAGGGTCAGTAAGTCTGGCTCTGAACTAAATGTCAGGAAGGGAGCTGCAACCAACCAGAGCCATAACCTGAAATGTCATGTGTTGTAGTGCATGTTGCTGCAGTCATACAGGGGACTTAATGCATCCCAGACTAATAACGGCCCCCTGTGATCAGTTTTATTTTCATAAGTGTGCTTGTTTTTTAAAACAAGCATACGGTCTTGAATAAGGACATATGAGTAGGGTGGCTTGTGTAGGGTCTGGGGCTCTCCCAGTATGGACTCTTATCTACCTATATACCTATTTTGCAACCTTCCTCCGTCAGTGGGACTCAAGATGGCTCACAAAAAATATCAGCTAAAAACAGATAAATTATGAACACAAAAATACCAAATTAAATCAGTAAGTTGTATATGGGAAGATTCTTAATAAGCTATCCCAACAGTTCTCTACAGCTCATTCCTCAAATGCCTTAGAGTACCATCAAGGCGTTCTTCCACATGATTTTAAATAAATAATTTTGTCCTTTGGAATTTGGCATGCAGTAGGTTGCTGTGGTGGAAATAAAAAAGACCTTTCATTTAAATTGGTCAGTATTTGGCACACGAATAAAAACCTTCCAGGAAAATCTCAAAAAATGTAACTCATGCTTTGTAATTAGTACAGTCACGTTAGAAGAGTGTTATTGAATTTGCTTAGTGATGTATCTAGCTCACTTGGCATGCTAGGTTTCTGGAGGAAAAAGGCATGATGGTATTTCTTTTCATTTCCTGTGGGCTGCTCCGTTTTTTCCAGCCTAACTCAGAATAGCCTCCATTACAGATTGTGCTACTCTAACATCCTGTTGAATAATTAGTTTAAGTAGCTTAATAGGTCTGTGTCGTAAAGGAGAGACTTTTTTTAAAAAAAGTTAGTTTTTCATATCTCAGAAAGGTAAATGTGCTCCATTTGCTCTATATTTGCTTTTTTAACCTTCCTCAGCTTTTATACATTTTCATGTTCCTGCTTCAAAATCTCTTCAGTAGCCTGGAACAGCCTTTCCTTTGAATCAATCACGGGGCCTTTTCATTTCCTCCTGCCTCTCCATTACTTCTCAACAAGCTGGTTTCCCAAGTGACATCTGTGTTGCTTCTTTCAGAGCAAGAGAATGGAGATCTCATTTTGTATTATGGATGTTAATTATATGGTCTCCCAAGATTTAGATTAGTCCTACGAGTTGTGTAGAGAGTAAGTAAAAATACAAAGAGAGACATTGAAATGTTTTCGCCTCTCATTGTGATTTATTTGAATATTAAAGCTTACCTCCTAGAAAAAAAATGTTCTCTTTGAGGGACCTAATTTCTTCTTTCTTTTGTATCTATAGATTTTGTGCCATTCATAGAGCAATCATTTTCCTTTATATTCTATTTATTCCTTTTCTCTTTTGCCACATGGTTTTGCCAATTAATAGATTAAAAACAACCTAATCTGCAATAAATGATGTGTTCAAAATTGAAGAAAAAGGGCCAGTTTGCTTTTTGCTTCTGACTTTAGAAACTAGACAGGTTGGGCTTATCTTAAATTGTTGCATTTTAAAATGAAATCTTTCACCTCTTTGACAAGAGGCAGGATCCAGCTGTTTCTGCCACCTTTTTTTTTTCCTATCACTCACTTTCAAGAGACCCAGAAATAACACCTGGGACCCTAATATCCATTGTGTGCATAAATTGTAGCCTACACACATAAAAAGTCATGCTCACTTTTTTTACAGGTGGATTTCTCATTGCTTCTTGTGTGGTAATATAACTAAAAATAATGAACAATAGGTACCATTTTCATTTCAATAGAAGTAAACTCGCACTAATTGAAAAATAGTACTGTAGAATTATTTAACTGTGCCTGGATTAATGGGACAAATATTGGAACGATTTGTGAAATACTGGGAGAGTGATTCAGTTAGTGCCAGCTGCAGATCTATGAATGGAGTTCTGTTTCACAATTGGCTATAGGCCTTATTTCAAAGGGAATGCCCCCTTCTGTGCCAGGCCAATCAAAGCCGCCTCTACCAGTACAGATTGGTTGTAGCAGGGAAGGGAAGGCTTCATTCACCAGCATAAATTCACCTAGTGAAATGGAATATTATTTTTGGATTGGGGTTTTTTTTTTTTGCCATTGTTTTTACATGGAACACTTTTATGGTTGTTCTTGGTAGAAATGTGCCCTATCCTCTGACCTGCCTATGTGGTGCCATAAGCTAGCAGAATGGACTATGCCACTTGAAATTCCAGATAGAAGGCAAAACTACTATGTGATTCTTGAAACAAAATGTGGAAATAAGTTCTAGCCAAGATTTTCCTGCTCCTGTGCCTAGCTATCATCTTATAGGAAGTGCTTGTTCACAATTTGGATTGATTCTTGCATTCTGTTGCATGTGTCAACCCAGCCTTATGTCTCTTTTAGTACTTCAATGCCATTGTCACTGTTGTGTCCCCACCGTGGGGTGATTTGAGGAGGTTTTTAGAATTACCTAGCAGAGAAGTAGATGTATCTCATCAAACTACAAATCCAAGAATGCCATAAGATACAGCCATGGCAGTGAAAGTGGAGCCCCCGGTGGCGCAGTGGGTTAAAGCATTGAGCTGCTGAGCTTGTTGATCGAAAGGTCGCAGGTTTGATTCCGGGGAGCAGCATGAGCTACCGCTGTCAGCCCTAGCTTCTGCCAACCTAGCAGTTCGAAAACATGCAAATGTGAGTAGATCAATAGGTACCGCTCCGGCGGGAAGGTAACGGTGCTCCATGCAGTCATGCCAGCCACATGACCTTGGAGGTGTCTACGGACAACGCTGGCTCTTCGGCTTAGAAATGAAGATGAGCACCACACCCCAGAGTCAGACATGACTGGACTTAATGTCAGGGGACTACCTTTACCTAGTGAAAGTGGTCTCTAATGTGCTACAATTGTATAGCATGAAAGAAACCTTAGAGAAAGTGGACTAATGTATTTACCTCAATATATAATTAAGACTATGGTAGTTGCAATAGGGATTTCTTATAGCTCTCTAAAGTAAATAAATACTAAAAGTAATATACATGCAGTCCCCAGTTATAAACAAGAAATAGCTTTCTAAATAAATACTAAATGAAATATACATGCAGTCCCTAGTTATGAACATGATAGTTTTTGCAGGTTTGTTCTAAAGGTGAGTTTGTATATAAGTCAGAACAGATACATTTTTAAGTGTAACTCCAGCCATTATGTGTGTGTGTGTGTATATAAATTTGTCTTGTTGCAGAAACAAGGAATGATGAAAAGTTTCAATGGAGACACCTTTTCCCCATGATCATTTTTTCAGGAGAGAATTTCACTTCCTATGGGTAGATTTCTCTCACTTCCTGTTGTGTCATCCCCAGTCTTAACTGTGAGTTGTTTGTAAATCAGATGTTTGCAACTCAGCCCCCGCCTTGTACAAGTAGAAGGGTGTTTTGCTTGCGCAAAGGCATGCTTGGATACAAGCTATGTATCTATGTTTCATAATAGATTATTTGTATCTGCAGCTTTAGTTGCTGCAAAGAGGGAAAGGTTTGTCCTTCTATATGAGAGAACCTGAGGTAACACATTCTCTCACCTACTTGAAGGTTAAGTGTTGAGTATTGTTTTCAAGTACATCTCTTTAGGCTAGAATTGAATTTATTGCCAAAGCTCTCTGCGGCCACAATCTGCATTGTCTTTTCTTTGCCCTGGCAAAATGCATGACGTATATTATGAGTTTCCCCACCGCAGTAAACCGTTGCCAACTAAATGGGTAGTGAACTTGATCATGCATCACGCTTTGAATTAGTCCTGCTGTTTTGGAGGAGGTGCAGTGCTGCACAGTTTCATAGGATGATGAACTTCCTTCTCTGTTCTTTCACAATTAGATTTAGGTGAAATAAA